CAGGAGCCCCAGGGGTGGGAGGAATTAGCTGAGCAGCAGGTCCACAGGGTGCCTGCACTGCAGCAGCATCCCTACGGGGGGTGATGCCTGGTCCTGGCACTGAAGTGGCTCAGCCACAGAGGATGAGCTGGTGAAAACCAGGGGACTGAACCTGCTCTTTGTAATTTTGGTATAAAGGTCATCTGGTGCTTCATGGAGCTCATTCAGCTTGCTGAACAGGCAGAAAAGCACTCACCTGGCTTTGCTGCTGCTTTAGTGACCTCACTCAGCTCAGCAGATGATTAGAAAAGCATCAGAGGTTGCACGGGGGCAGGAGCTGGGGAGCACTGCCTGGCTGCCACAGCAGACTCCTTTCCCCACAGCCAGCCCCCATGCCCAGCTCCCTGAGGGACACAGAAACCATGGGACATCAGTGTGAGCATTAAGAGAGGCAGGACTGGCAGGGGGAGGTCAAGGAGTCTCCACATGCTGCAGGAGGGCCAACTGCTCCACGGGAACGTCCACCAGGAGAGGTCAACCTCTTTCCTTGACAAGGAGACAGACTGGGCCAGAGACCCCTCTGCCTTCCCCATGGTGTCCTTGCACACTCCAAAGGCTGCCACACAGATCAAGAGCATGGCTGCCTTCATCCCCACTGAGCACCATCCACTCCCTCTTTTGTGACCAAAACAGAGTCTAGCAATGCTGTCACACTACTCACGTCAAATACTTCCAAGTCCTGCTGTATTTCTCTCCAATACATGGGAGAACTGAGGATCTGCAATTCCAGAAGCTCTGCACAAAAGGGACATAACTCTTCCAGTGCTGGTGTCAAAAATCTGTTGAGGAGGAGGGACAGCAGGGAAGGTCTCAAGCCCCACATGGTTTTCTGGTTCCTCTGCACCACAGCTGAGCCACCAGCCCAGCCCCAGAGATGTGTCTGCCTGGGGGTGCTGGCGTGGCTGGGGCTGAGCAGGGGGCAAGTGCAGAGCACCCATCCACCAAGCACTGCCCTGGGCTCCTGCTGCCCCCACCACTAGGCAAGGAGAGCCCTCCACCCAGCCAGTGCTGGGCCTGAAAACAAATTCACTCTTTGGCCAGAGGAAGAGGATGGTGACAAAGCCAATCTGATGTGGCTGCAGGAAGCTGAGCTCCAGCTCTGCATCTCTGGCCTCTCCCCAGAGCATCCCACCTGCTCCCACCAGCCTCCCTTCCCACAGACCCACAGGATGGAGAGCACAGGGCTGGGGACCCTGCTGCTCCCCCTGCCCACTCTCCTCACTCCCAAGGGGTACAGGCACCAAAATCCCCACCAGCACTGCTCCTCTCTGCTTGCCCAGCTCCCACAGCCCAGACACACATCCCCTGCCTGGTTCCCAGGGGACCAGCTGAACTTAAACCTTCCCTGCTATCAGACTATCAGACTGTTTCCCAAGGTCCCCTCACAGTTCACTCCTTACTCTGAGGCTATTATATTGCAAATGGAAAGTTTAGCCACAAGACAAGCTTTAACTAGTGTACTGCAGCATAGCTGTCTGGTTATATTGTACAAATGTAAGTGGGAAAGCCAGAATTTGGAGAAACCCCCTCTTTTCTTGAAGAGGCATCTCTACCATGTTTCTACCACCCCCGTGGGCAATGACAGCAGCTTAGGAACCCCTGACAATTTGTCTTCCTCCTGCTAACCTACGTTAGATGCTGTGGTTCAACTGATGAGACCCAGCTCAAGTCAGAGATGACAGATTCCTAGAATGGTGGGGGTTGGAACTGACCTCTGGAGATCACCTCATGCAGCCCCCCTGCTCCAGCAGGTCACCCAGAGCAGGGTGCCAGTATCACATCCAAACAGGTTCCTCTCCAGAGAAGGAGACTCCACAGCCTATCTGGGCAGCCTGCTCCAGGCTCTGCCACCCTCACACCAAAGAAGTTCTCCCTTTCTCCTTCTTCTAGCCTGGGTATCATTGCCTGCTTGGAAGTCATGCAAAGCTCTCTAAAACACAGCCTGGGAAAAAACAGGCAGGGGCTGCAGGTCCTTTGACATCTGTTTGCTCCACAGCCCTGCTCCAGGAGCAGAGCTTTGTGGTGAGGGCTGCTGGAGCAGGCAGGTCTCTTCCATTGCCCAGTGCACCACGTGGCTGCACCTTCAGCAAAAGCAGCTTCCCATGATGAGGTTTCACTCAGCTCTCCTAGAAGAGTGGTTCCTCTGCCAAACTGGGGCCCTCAGCCACGGTGGCATTAAGTGCTTCAGTCAACAGAAATGAGGGACAGGCATGTAACACAGGAAATGTCTGTTCTCTACTCACACCTCCCTGAGACAGGGGATGGGGCTTGGGCTAAAATCCAACCCAGTAAACCTACTAATCCCACAATAACCCAAGATTGACTCCCATTCTGGAAATACAAACACGGGAATACATTCAAGTCACAGCAGGTAAGAGCACAGCACTTATCACCTCTGCCAGCCTCCAGCAGCAGCAGATTTCCCACAGCTCTGCAAGAGCCTTGACCACAGGGTTGGAGCACTGCCCTCTCCTGCCTTCTCACCAGCTCAGAGCCCAGCAGACCAAGGAAGCCCAGGGAGATGCTTCCCAGGAAGGTCAGGATTTGCCTCGGGGCACCCTGGAGCTCAGGGCTGGGATCAGAACACCCAAGGAGTACAGAGCTTGCCCAGGTGAGAGCAGCACTGTGAACATCAGAGTGCCCTGGCCCCCTGGCTCTGGGGTGGAAAACAGAGTCCACAAAAACCTGTTTCAACAAAGAAAACCTGCTTCTCTTCCAGGGAACACTTGTGGCACCAGAAACTATGAAGTGAATGAATACATGCTGATACTGTGGAGCAGACAGTACTTGTGTTCCCTTTGGAAAAACACATGATGATACAAATTCATTACCAAGAAAACAAACAGAAAGGAACTGAACAGAGAGCACAGCTCCCTGAAGAGGATTTGTCCTCTCCCTCTGGACTTGCATTTAGTAACAGTGAAGGGGGCTGGGCAGCTGAACCAAAGAGAAAATGCATTTTCAAGTGATTCCCTCTGCTGACATGAAATTTCCCAACATACAAGGAGACACTGCTGAGACTGAACGTGGCCAGAGGAAAACTCAATGAGAGGGTAAAATTGTGAGTGATGCTACAGAGGCACAAACAGCACTTTGATGACTCTGCAGAGACAACAGCAGGACCAGGACCCCTTTACCTCTCTGTCAGTGGACAGTGTGTGTGTGGATGATGTCCTTCATCCACCCCAAACCAAAGGGAAAGGAAGGGCCAGCCCTTCCCACAGCTGTGATGCAGCATCAGCCCCAAGCACAGGGCTAAACCATTTAATACAGGTCAGATGCAAAGGAGGCAGTGGGTCCCTGGGGACAGTCCCTCCCAGCATTAGCCATGGCTCTTTTGCAGCTGGATTCAGCCTGCAATGCTGTGTGCTGCAGAGCTCTGCTCTCTGAGGCAGAGGGCTCCCAAAGCTGGAGGCTGCACACCCCAATTAGCAGCCTCCAATCTACCCTGCCATCAGTACAAGCTGCAGGGAGAGCATTCAGCACAGGGATGAACTCAACACGAGGCTGGGAGTCAAGGAATTTCACCATTTCCTTCCTTCTCCCAAGCTCCTCACTCTTGCCCAAAGCATCCTCTTGCTGCAGCAGCCCCTGCCCTGTCTCCAGCAGCCAACTCTTGTTGCTGTGGGCACAGGCTGTGCTGAGCAGCAGCTGCTGGGGTCAGTCCAGAGCAGGCTTAACCCTGGAGCCATTTCACACCACACTCCTTTGTGGAAAAGACCTTGCTTGGCTCAGAAGTATGGCACACAGATTATCAGCAACACTGCCAGGAACAGTGTCCCCATGCAGGACCCTGCAGGTGGTCTGCAAGGAGCTGTTGGAACTACTGCCAGAGCTCTGTGAGGAAGAAGACATCTCCAGAGCAGAGAGCACCAGCTCTGCCCTTCTCCTCCTCCTCCAGGCGTGCTGCAGGCTGTGCTGCTGCAGCCCTCACTGCCCATGGAGACAACCCCAGTGACCTGGGAGGCACCACTGCCTGCCTCTGACACCCAAATTCAGTGCTAAAGGGGCAGCAAAGGTCACCGTGGGTTCTGCCCCACCACCCCCCCACCATCCCCTCCTCACCAGCTTGGTTGTGTCCATGGCTGCCAGGACTGCAGAGTTGAGGGCTTCCAGGGCTGAAAGCACGTTCCTGTATTCTCCCAGGTAGGCTGAGAAATAATCTGAAGCAAGAGAGAGAAACACAGTGAGGTTCCCAAGCACCTCCCTCTCTGCCTGCCCTGCACCAGCTGCTTCCCACACACCGCCCAGCACTGAGGGGGGATTCCAGTCCCTCTCCAGTCGTGCTCCCACCTGCACTGAAATGAAAAGCTCCTTTCTAGCCCTAGGGACAAAAAGTCCCATCCCCAGGGGAGAAGCACGGATGTCCTCTGTGCTGGGATTCAGGCACAGGGACTGTCAGTGCTGCTTGCCTGCCCAGGTCAGCTGAGCACAAAGCCCCAGCACACGGCCTCTGAGGCAGGAACATCACCCAACTTACCACACAACTTCTCTGTGTCCACGTTACTGCAAGAAACAGAAACACAAGCTGTTAGATGATGGGGCTGGTTTGGGAGGAACAGTCGTGATGAGCAGGGTCTTGAGGGCTTGTCTTGAGCCCCCAGTTGGATTTACTGCTCCTCCCACCTATTTTCCAACACTGTATTAGAAAAATAAAAAGCTGCACAAGTGTAGAGCCAGCAGCTCAGGAGCCATGCCCAGTGGCTGCAGCACCCAGGCAGGGGGGCAGGAGCAGAAGCCAGCAAAGCTACTCCATCAAGAGCTCCTGGAGCTGGAGGGCATCAGAAAAGTGTCTGTGAGAGCAGGATGTGGCCAGGCAGGGGTCAGGGGAGGCAGGCAGCACCCTGCACCCCTGGGCTGGCAGCCCCATTTCTGAGCCCTGGAGCTGACAGGCCCCAGAAGCTGCTTCTTCAACCCAACCTCTTCCCACAAAGGTGCAAAGCCTTCAGCCAGGGCTCCCTCTTCATGCCTCAGCCCACGTTCTCCCTCATGGCTGTCCCATGGCACCAGGCCCCTCCTCTCCCACCTGTCCCACGTGTGCTCCCAGCTGCTCCTCCCTCTTCCCTGCCTTCAGAGCCTGGGTGATATGAGGCTCTCTTCAGGCTCTTGGGACATGGGGCTGGATGGCTTCATGGCCCACAAGATGGGTTGTTCCTGCCACAAAGGCCATTAAAGCAGGGATCTGGGCCCAAAACCTTGGAAGTGGGGGTGAGCCCCCCACCCTTTTGGTACCAGAGAGCATTGCACTGGAGAACCAATGCTGGCAACCCTGCAAGGCTTGGGCAGGTCCCTCCTGCTGCTAACAGAGGTGCTGCTGGGGTGGGAGGCAGAGGGAAAAACATCCAGAAACAGCCACATTTTCAGGATGGGATGTCAAGCAGAACCGTGGGTTCTCATGATGCTGTGGGATCCACTCATGTGGCCAAAGCCAGAGAGGCAGAGCTGCTTGTGATGTCCCAGAGTCACCTTCAGAGCCTGCAGGGAAATGCCTAAGGATATTGTTTATGCAAATCAGCCTCTGCTCACAGAATTCTGCTATCTCAGAATCCCCTAAATGATTACAACCATCTTTAATCCTGATTAAGAAAGTGTAAGAGAGCATGGAAAGGTTTTAAGTGTTTAAGTGCTGTCCCACATGGAGGAACCCGTGATACCTGGAGTTTGCTGGGCTCCAAGCATGAGGATGGCAGCAGCACCACCGCCCAGAGGAGGTGGAGCCACGGCCACATCATCCCAGCCCTGCTCTGACACTGCTCACTGGGCACAGGGGCTCCAACACCCCGAGGTAAAATGAAAG